TTTTTTCTCTCACCGTAGGTCATTAGATTTACAGACAAGGCACTAAATCATTTTAGCTCCCAAACCCCTTAAGGAAACACACACACATTCTGGCCCCCTCCCTTTTGTACAGAAACCTTAGATAAGAGGAGACAAAACAAACGCAAAGGTTTTATGAATGTCTCCTTCTAATAGCTTACAAATAAAAAAAGTTGATGTCGGTTGTAAAACGCGAATTGTCAGTGGCCTCTTCCCAAAGCCTTCACATGAAGGGTCATTAATTGTGTTTTCTTTCCAAATCATATGTCACTGCAATTAACAGATTTTGATCAAGAGACTCCTTTAAGATTGATTCCATATGTGATAACGAATGTGCAGCTTGTTATCTATCTGTCGCCTTGGAATTATGGAAAAGCTTCAAACGTGTAATTTGAAGAGTCTTTTACTCGGCTCTTTGATCTTTCCTTTTAGTTTTAACTCCTTTTTAACTGCCACCCTTTCCCTGATTTCACTTGTTTGTTTATACCCTGCCTTCCCCACCTCTAGGGCTTGTATATTGGCTGTTTGTTCAGTGTTTTCAGCCTTTTGTTTTCCCCCTGTGTTGATTGTGAAAATTGCCAACGCTTTGGCAATCCACAGTTCCTAATCAAGCAGTTATCATAATCGTCCCGGAAATTGGACTTCACAAGGGCAGGTAAGAGCCTAATTAAACTCACAGCTTCAGTGACAGCTTTTCAACAACTTCCAACAAGTAACACCCATTCTACCAGGCTGTGGTCCTGAATTCAAAGTCTCGACGGGTTATCTGGGCCACAGTTCCCCTTTTTCCTAGCTAGTATCTCTAGAACTATGGATGTTTATGGAGCGAGCGAGGGAGACGTTCAAAGGAAACAGAATAAAACATGGCACAGTGTCCACTTTATATACTCTGTGACCTGATGTATCTGGGCGCAGCAGAATGTGAGTGGTACGAAAGGTCAGGGCTATCAAGCCCATATAGGGTGTGACAGGAGCTTTGATTCATTTATATACATATTAAATAACAGTCCAAATATTTCTGGGCAGGGATGTTTTATGCACAGGGCTTGGGTCCTGCCTGCAGAATTTCTTCTTGCGCCCACAGAAGGACTGAGGCTCTGTTTGCATGGGGAGAAGCGAAAGCCGCAGCTGCTTCGGTACAAATGAACACAAATCCAGCGCACGCTTCTTGGTCTCACTCCGCATTTTCCTTAGTACAGGGTCCCAGCTTCGGCTTCAGAGCCTGGAGTCAAGGAGGCTCTGTTGAAGTTTGAGGAGATTTGGTTTTAGCTCAGTGACCGTGTGAGTGAGCCGGGGAGGGAGGGAAGTAGACCCAGGGAGGGAGAGTATGGATGTTTGGGGTAATAAATCAGAAGCAGCTCTCCCAGCTTTGACAGATCCCGGCCAGAAGACACGTGTCTGTCCGGAGTAGGAGCGCTTCACAGAAACAAGCCGGCTGACCTGGGGGAGCAGCAGATACTTTCAGTCCTATTGGCTTTAGCCATCTTGCCCCTGAATAGGTTTCTTCTCCATCTGGGCAGGCACATTCGTTGCTAGACAGCTGCAGGGTTTACTTTATTTCTCCTGTCTGTTGCCAGATGTTTAGCAAAATGTGTCCCACTTCTCTGCTTTGCATCCGTCTGCCGTCTATTTTTTTTCTCTCTTCCACCCTTCCTTCAGCGTTGCTTTTTTCTTCCTTCCCACTCTTTAGCACTGCCTGGTTTGAAGGCAAGGCTGCTGTTTTAATGGCTCCACGCTTAGCAAGTTCCCTGCCCCATCCGCAGCCCTCTCCCTAGGCGGCACGGGCTGTCACATGCTGGTGTTTCCATCCTCCCGGTGCCATGTGCGTTTCTGGCCGGGGAGATGCTTTGAACATTCCCCTGCCAGAGTTCGGCTGGTGTCTTTTCTCTCCCCTGCTCCTGGTGGTTGTTTTTCGGGTTTCTTTTGAACCTCTCCGCTTAACAGCTATAGCTTTGCAGATTTCTCCTCCAGTCCATTTGGTGCGGCTACGTTTCCTGTCCGTTTCTTTCCCATTAATAAACCATCATTCATCCTCATCCTGACCTGAATTCATTCGCCCCCATAAATTTCTCGCCTCCCATATTCCCGCTGTCAGGGCTTGCATTTGCTCTCACGTACCTTCAATCTCACTTCTTTTCTCCGTGCTGTTTGATAGTAGGGTGAATTTCTACATTTTTATTTCACCTGGGTAGCGTCGGTTTCTCTCCCTCCCCCCCCCCCGGTTTTTTGTTTTATTTGCACTTTAAAGAGCCAAAGAAACCCAGATTCCTTCTCTATACTATATTCAGCTTCTACTAATGTCAGTCATGAATTAGAATCAGTACAACAATCCATGTCGAACACGTGTATTTTCCCGTTCGGGATGAACTTATATTGATTGTATTGTTGATTAAAAATCTATCTTGATGACACAAGACAGTAGGATGAGATAATAAAATAATCTTGCCAGCTTCATAAACTCAGTAAATGAGCAGTAGTGATGTCAATCGTGAAGCCACAATAAAAATACGCGTCAGATGCGTTAGGTCTGGGCTGTGTGTATGCAAATGTATCGTGTGTGGGTACAATATGTAATATGTATGTAGAATAGTAGGTAGAATTATGGGGCTACCTGCTGAGAATTGATCAAATGAAAATTAATTTCTCTGACACTTTTACCTTTCCTCCCTTCCTCCCTCCCCCCCGTATAAAATACATTCCTAAAAGTTGTGTTCCGCTTTGAAGCTATTTCCAAACCTTCTCAGAATCGCAGCGATCAAACCTTGCAATTTGTACAGAGAATTAAAAGAAACAAGGACACAGGCTTCACTCACTACTTTCCTTTTGAATTAAAAAGAAACAAACATACAACTGAATTTAATATTATCTCCATTACATTATATTATAAAAACCTATTACAAGAGCAAAGTTGACTAGGAGAAAATAAATTCCTCCAACCCAGAGTTGTTTTTGCGCTAGATTAGCAGATAGGGGATGCTATAAAGATGAACTTAATACGTTTAGAGATGTTTCCTACAGATTTTCATATATTGATTCAGGGAATTTTAATTCTGGGTCTTGCTTTGCCATAATCCGTATTTATTACAAGATGATATAGTTTTATTATAGCAAGCTATGAAGGTCGATTCCTTTAACTGTATAATCTGACATGAATTTCATTTTTTAAAGAAATGTAGTTGTAAAAAGCCATACTGTGAGCACAGTTATTATACTGTAGCTAAATCATATTTTAATGGTAATAAATCCACAACGTATTCAAAAACATGGGAGAATATGATTAAATGACTCTCCAGCATAACAAATATAAACGCCCCAGAAGAACCTTCAGAGGTTTGTTTTTAATTCATTTAATTCCAAAAAAGCAACAGTGGTAAATTCAGAATTTTGCCCCAACAAAGTCTTAACTCTACAGGTTGCCAAAACTTTTTATGTTCCATTTACTCGAGCCCTCCAACACAACGGTAACAAGTCAGGAGATACCTTTTCTTTCAAGACACCCACTTTGTCTTAAATGCATTTTAACTCCTCTTAAAACGCTACAATTACATTCCACACGCTGGTTGCAGAAAAACAGTATCTCAAACTGCGTTGATCATAAAATAAGGTTATCCAGTAATTAAAACACATTTCGACTTGCTCCCAGTAACTCTTTAAAACATTATGGCACTACACCCATTGCAATTGTTCTGTGTCCCAGGTAAGGCTGCACGTGTAGTGATTCAGAACAGAGGGACTAAGCAAAATGATCATAAATTTCCTAATTAGAGATTTCGCACCAAGACAAAAAGGTGTTAATTAGTTTAATTTCAGTGCCTGTCATTGTCCCTTTCTTCACACCACGTATTTACTAATGGCCCAGAGGGCTGCTCCCGTCTCTTCTTTGTTAGGATTTTAATTTGCCTTCTTTTCTGCCTTTGATGTAAAATTGTGACCCTACAACTCTTTGAAGTCTCTTATTAGGAAGAAAATTAACTTCACTTTTTCACTGTATCTGCCCACTGTTAGGCTAGACAAAATGTAGAGAACTCCTTAAAGATTAAGAATTAGGAAATTTCAAACTGTCTCTGGAAATGCAAATTACAAAATCTAATAGACTTTAAATCTATATTAGGAGATGTAACCCATGCTAGGGCCGGGGGAAAGGGGAGGAGTAGGGGGAGGGAATATCTTAATAAAGAAAACAAAAATGAACCTACACTAGATAAGGTTGTAAACGTAAAATTCTGCAAGGAAAGAGGCTTTATTTAAATACGTCACATAACTTTTTGTTCTCTTTCCTGCGTGCAATTTTCCAACAGTTGCCAACCCCAGCTTCCTAATTCTTTTATTTCGGGGGGGGGGAACAAGGGGGCTATGAAAAAATAATTGTGTGTCTCTCTCTATATATAAATTATAAAACCGTAGGGCAGGGTTTAAACCTTTGTAGAACACAGAACTGATTGGCGATTGCTAAAACGAGATTTGAAAGCAACTCAAATAAAAGATCGCGACGTCAGTAAACAGATTTAGAGAAGGGGAGGAAAGAAAAAAAAGCTAGTGACAAACCCAGGGAGAGAGCTCTGGGCAGGAGAGGGAGAGAGAGAGAGACTTAAAAGAAATAGGAGGGGCTTGCGAGAGACTAGAAATGTCAATCAGAACCCAGAGTCCCAATAATCTCAGGCAATCTGTTAGGACCTGACCTGAGTCCACTCAGATCAATAGGAAAAGTGAGAGAAGAAAGAAGCGATCGGATCGTGTACAGCAGCGGCCGGAGAGCGAGAGGAGGAAGCTCACGGCCTCTCCAACACCCCTCTCTCCCCCTCCCCTCCCCACCCATGTCTGCAAGAGTTTGCGGGAGGCACTGAAAAGTGCAGACAGCCAGCAAGGGCGAGCGAGCCAGCTCCCTCCTCTTCTACCAGCCCTTCTACTTTCTCTCCTTTCTCTCCTTTTTTTCTCCCCCCCTCCTCCTCCTTTCCCCCCCTCCCCTACCCCCTCTGCCCACCATGTCTTTCCCCCAGCTGGGCTACCAGTATATCAGGCCGATTTACCCCTCTGAGCGCCAGGGGAGCGGCAGCGCTCGAAGCGGGACAGAGCTCACCCCGTCCGGTACTCTCTCCAATGTTTTATCCTCCATGTACGGAGCGCCTTACGCCGCCGCCGCGGCAGCTCAAGGATATGGTGCTTTCCTGCCCTACACCGCCGAGCTCCCCATCTTCCCGCAGCTGGTAAGAGCCGCACAGACCCCCCTGGCCAACCTCCGCCCGCATCCTCCACCCCCCCCCATGCCCCTGGCTCGCCCTCTGCCTTGAGGGGGCTTGTTTGTGTTTCGGAACGATTCGGCTTTGGCCTTTGCGGAGGAGCGATTGGCGCTAGCAGGAGTGGAGAACCGGAGCGAATCTTTCCAAGGAAATCCGACTTGCCTGCCTTTCTGTCGCCTTAGCAAGCCCCCGATTGTTTTATAACCAAGCGACCGTCTTCACCTGGATCTAATGCTTTCGATGGGGGGGCACGGGGGGGGGGGGGAGAGGGGGGGAAAGGAAGGTTTTTTGGTGGTTGTTTTTTTTGGGGTTTTTTTACATTGCTTTCTGTTTGTGTGAAGCCGGGACAAGCGATACCGATTTAAGGACACGTTTGCACGTTGGCAGGATTTTAATGATTAAGGAGAAGAACAATGATCTATTTTGATTTTATTTTTATTTTTTGGTGGCCGGTTAAAAGTAAGGCAGGTAAAGGGGGGCAGGGTTAAGAACTTTAAACAAACAAAAGTGGGGGGCTTGTTGTTTCTTGCTGCGCCCAAGCAGGTTTGATAGGGGTGACAATCCGCCGGCGGTGTGAACGGCCGGGAAAAGAAAGATCCACGCACCGAAAGAGTGGCCTGGTTGAATTTCTGCCAGGAGAGATTTTGATTGACAGTTTCTGCTTGTGCTCTTAGGGGTCTCCGAAAGGCTTTAGAAGTGTTTTATAAACAGCACGTCACGCTACGGGGTCCGCTGCACTGGCCGCTGGCTGGCTGCGTTGTTGTTGTTACAGAGTGTGTGTGTGTGTGTGTCGGTGTGTGTGTGCGCGCCTGCCTGCGCGCCCATTTTTATAAAAGCGGTTGCAAAGTTGCAAAGTGGGGCTGCAAAGGCAGGGACGGCACCCCGCAAACGGGGCCGCCTAGGCAGCTCTGCGCGCTGCCTTTACAGCCAGGGAGAGACCGGGCCCCTTTCACTCCTGTCTGAAAAATCATCAAGCGCCCCCAAGCCCTGGCGGGGGCTCCCCGCACACCTGCCCAGTGGCCCGGGACATCTCGGGGAGGGGAAATCCACCCAGAGCCCTATTCTCCCCCCCTGAAACCTTTCTCTCTCCTTCTCCCCGCTGGCTCTAGGGTGCCCAGTACGAGCTGAAGGACAGCCCCGGCGTCCAGCACCCGGCCTTCCCTCACCACCACCCCGCTTTCTACCCCTATGGGCAGTACCAGTTCGGGGACCCGTCCCGGCCCAAGAACGCCACCCGGGAGAGCACCAGCACCCTGAAGGCCTGGCTGAACGAGCACCGCAAGAACCCCTACCCCACCAAGGGCGAGAAGATCATGCTGGCCATCATCACCAAAATGACCCTCACCCAGGTCTCCACCTGGTTCGCCAACGCCCGGCGGCGGCTCAAAAAGGAGAATAAAATGACTTGGGCGCCCCGCAGCCGGACGGACGAGGAGGGCAACTCCTACGGGAGCGACCACGAAGGGGAAGAGGACAAGCGGGAGGACGAGGAGGAGATCGACCTGGAGAACATCGACACGGAGCACATGGAGAGCCACAAGGACGAGCTGGAGGAGGACCCCGACCTGCTGCACTCCGACTCCAAGACGGACTCGGAAGGCTCCGAGGGCTTCGAGGACTTGCCCGGCTCCGAGGAGCGCTTCCTCAAGGCCATGGAGGGGGAGCGCCCCCACCCGCCCGCCGGGGGGCTGGAGCCCCTCAAGCTGCCCCACCAGCAGCACCGCCTCTCCCCGCCTGCCCCGGCCTCGCCCCCGACGGAGGGCAGCTTAGCCAGCGCGGGGCAGAAGCCCAAGATCTGGTCCCTGGCTGAGACGGCCACCAGCCCGGACAACCCTCGCAAGTCCCCCGGGGGCGGCAGCGGCTGCTCCCCCCCAGCGGCGGCCCCCCAGAGCCTGCCGCTGGCTCCGCCTCCGCCCCACAGACTCGTCTCCTCCTGTCCGCTGGGCAAGTTTCCCAACTGGACCAGCCGGGCTTTCTCGGCCCACCACCACCACCCGCACCCGCTCACCTTACTGAACACTCCCCACCTGCTGGGACTCGGGGCCACCCCCGGCGCAGCCTCCAGTGCTGCAGCCATCGCTGCCTTCTCCAGACCCGCCGACCAGGCTCAGAGCACGGACTCCGCTGGAACAGGTGATGGCTAAGGGGTCTCCTGGACCTGGGGGCTGGGGTGGGGGTGGGGGAGAGGTGGAGGGGCAGAGCGCAAGAGGCCCACCCTGCCCTGCGGGCAGAGAAACTCCCCTTCTGCCACTGTCCCTTGCTGGCTGGATTCCCCCCCCACCACACACACACAGACAATCAGCGCTTCCCCTTTGGGCTGAAGTGGTTACAGATTTTGATCCCTTTGACTCATCTCGGAGCAGCTACATAGAGGGCTGGGGGACCCATCAACCCAGAAGCAGTGAAATGGCTAGTTTTAAAAAAATGGAACGACCCCAGTGCTTAAAATCCCAACTCTTCCAAATTACTAGCAGCCCAAGAAAGGGGCGGGTGGGGGAACTGAATAGATAAACAATAATTGGTTAATATATAACTTCTTTGTTTTTAATGGTAAAATTCTTCTAGCTTGGCTAGCGGGGCCAGTTATATTTCAGGGCTAGTTCTCGATGTTGTTGCTTGTGTTTGTTTATATTTTGAACGTCTACTTTTAATTTAGCATTAATTGTGATGCTATGCAGTGACCTGCAAGTCTGAATTGTATAGTTGTCAGTCGCAATAGTCACTTACTGTGTTTCACGTGGAAGAGAATAAATAGGCGGTGCTAGTTCCTTTTTAATGTAACACGGCGACGCTATTTATTTCGTACAAATAATTACTTGCCACCAACGGAGATTTTTGTTGTTGTTGCTGCTAACATGGTCATCGCTGGAACTCTTTTATGGGGAAGACTGGCGCTGAGACTTGCTTCAGTACTTTACAGTCACTTCTACAGTCAACCAATCCTTCCCCCTAAGCAACATTGTTATCCCCAGCGGCTTAATTCGGGGACGTGGAAAAAAGAGAGGGAGTTTAAAAAGGAACATTTTTTTTCTTCTGTTTTTAGATCGATCTAGTGCCTTGGAAGTAGAGAAAAAGTTAATAAAGACAGCTTTCCAGCCAGTTCAGAGGCGGTAAGAGATTACTTCCTCAGTCTCCTATGGATATATATATATATAGAGAGAGTTGTAAATAGATCATTTTCTCTGCTACTTTAGTTCCCTTTACAGTCATAAGGAAGCAGCTTTTTCTTTCCCGAAGTGGTTTGTGGGGGTGTTATGATCATTTTTAATGTATAAGTATTGTTGACTTTGCAATTCAGTATTCTAGACTTTGCAAACGATTCCTTGTGCAATGCAAAATTGCATCAGGCACTTCTTGATTTGTGGGCTTACTATTTTTGTTTGTGTTAAAATAAATAGGCAACGCAGAAGGAATAGTTATCATAGTCCTTATCCCTTAAATAGTGCAGGTAAAAATCAGGCCTGGATAAAAACAAAGGGGGAATTCAGTGAATAGTAGCAAAAGATACTGGACGGATGGTGGGATACAAGAAACTTAAGCCTCATTCAGGCATAACTCCCACTCAAGTCAATGACACTTTGGCCGGGGAAAAACGGATTGGGCCCATCCTATATCACAGCTAATTAAAATGGGTATAAAGTTTATAGACATTTTTAATATTTATATTTAAATATTTTTTATTAAAAACAACAAAATGCTATCTAAAGTTAAAAATCAACTGTGCCAACTAAGCCTGAATAGAAATCCTATTAAATATTTCTTCTGTGTCATTTTTTTTCCAGGCCCCAGAACCAACTTGATGCAGCTATGGTTCTATCAGCGTTGTCATCATCATAGTTAATTTTTATTATTATTAATATTGTAATGATTGTGTAAAAAAAAACAAAAACAACAACAAAAAACTCTGTATAGTTACAACTTGTAAGCATGTCCGTATATTAAAATAAAAAAAAAAGAGGGAGAAAGAAAGAAAAGAAACCGCTTCTGTACTATCATCTGGATTAGCTGAGTTCGTGAGGTTTTTTTGGAAGTCCAGTGAGAATTAGGTGTCTCGATTTTTTTTGTATATACAGTAAAAATGTACATATGTGTGAACCAAATTGTACAAGAAAGTATATATTTTGGCTAATAAATAAACTGTTGCCACTTTGACTACATTCTCTTCCGCCACCAATGGAGTTACTTCCCTCCCTCTATTTTTTAAGCCTGAAAAGGTGGCTTGGAGAATTTAAAATAGGCCAGTTTCTGCCGATTCTATATGTCTCGTCTGCTCAAAACTTCTCTGGAAGGCGGAAGGAGTTTGGGGGTAGAGGATCGAGTCGTAAAATACAGGATAAAGGGCGAGGGGGGGAAATGATAGGGGAAACAATGGGAACGCGGCCGAGGAAAGGCAGGGTTGCGGAGAGGCATTTCTTTCTCGGGTCTCTGGTAGGGGAGACGCTGAAGTTCCATGTCTGGGGCTAGCACCACGTCCTTTCGGGGGTAGCGTTTTAATAGTGGGCGAGATTTAGGCGCCAGAGCTGCGGGGAAACCCCCTACAGAAACAGGAGCCCTGTTCAGTTATTCGCCAAAAAAAAAAAAAAAAGACCTTTGTGCTTGCCTCTGGCTCATTCCTGGCAGAGCTCCGAGGGAAGGCCAGGCTTTTCGGGGTGTATTTTCGTGGGTACAGACTGTGGAGAGGGTGGGGGTGCGGCGATTGCCAAGGCGAAAGCTAAAGGAATCAAGAGCAAAGCCTGTTTCAGAGGCTGGACAAACTGGGAGTGAGCTCCGGAGTGGAAGTTGTGCTGGGATCTGAGGGCTGGGGAAGGCTGGATCGCTATTTTACACGAATCTATTATATTTATTATGCTACTTTTTCTATTTATAAAGGCCTTTCCCAGCAAGTGATAGGGGGAAGGGGTGTCTTCCTGGGAATGAGCCCAGGGAATTGGTGAAATCTGGAACTGGAGCGCCCTCTACAGGAGGAAAACACCCTTTCTCTCCTGCAGGCACCCTTGAAAAAAATCACACCTATGCAATTACCTCGCCCTCTTCCCACCCCAAGAACAACTGGCAACATTTTTCTTTTTTTTTTTAAATAGTTTCTTTTCCTGTCTTCTTTTGTCTTGCGTTCACAGTTTTTCTTTGAACGGTCTGGCGGTTATTTGTTTAAGAATCACAGCTGCTTTGGCTTCCAAACCCAATGGCCATGTAAGTTACAGCTATAGACTGGGGAGGGTGATTTAAAAATCCCCTGGGGAAAAGTAGAAGGGGGTGGGGAGGCGTGAGTTTGGAGACCTTTCACTTGGTGAGCAATGGCTCTCTGGGAGCAGCTCAACTGTGATCTATGACCCCCCCCCTTATTACTCGGTGTTAGCGATCGCTGCCCTCCCCCCATACAAGTGGCAGTCGAATCATGGCGTAAGGGAGGTTTGATTTTAAAGAAAACTTTCGAGAGCCTCAAAGTCATAGAAGTCAGACTAGCGCCGAGCGTTGCATTCTGTCCCTGGGAGGTAACTGCTTATGTAGGAAACCAGCTATACAGCAAGTTCAATGAATGGCAGCAAAACAACAACAGAAGGGGGAGGGGGGGAGGAGTCTTTGTCGATTTGGTTTGACATCTTTCTTTGTGCGTTTCTTGGTGAGTTTCTGTTTTGAGTGAACGTGGCTTTTTAAGTGCTACCTAGTCATTTAAGGAATTGGAGACGGGGCCCGGCTACGCTTTTACATGATATTATTTAAAATAAAGATGGTTTGTCTTCTGCCAGCAGTAAAATAATGACAATAATTAATAGTATTTGGCATGGTTAAAATTTGTTGTGAAGCTGCCCTGCTGCAGGAGTGGTAAAACGTACAGGATCACCATGTGAATAAGTTATTGATGGGATGAATTCATATCATATGGGTAATATAGCTCTCTGTATACAATATGCAAAACTTTTAGAACCTGAGCCACAGCTAGGGTGACCAGATGTCCTGATTTTATAGGGACAGTCCTGATTTGCGGGTCTTTTTCTTATATAGGCTCCTATTAGCCCCTCATCCCCGTCCCGATTTTTCACATTTGTTGTCTGGTCACCCAACACAGCTAACTGAAGTCAAGGGGCATCTTTTTTCATTAATTTCAGTGGGCTTTGGATCACCTCCTGAGTTCTCAAAGTAAAAGCAATATTCAAGTTCGAATACAAGTGCAGAAGGGAGCTGCAGCCCTAGTCAGGAGAATTTAGAGCAAAGAATTTTCTAATGAACTGTTACTTTGATTGGGGAGAGTGTTGCAAAACCTGCACAGTGAAAGGGTGGGGTTCACCCACCTAAAACGGGGGGGTTGTTATGCCTAATCTAAAACACACCCTCAAAAGGCAGGGAGCTACTGAGATCCTCCCCAATTTGGTTTTAATTAAAATAGCTACAACTTTGCAAATTACATTTTAAGATGATGGCTAGCTGCAGCGTCGACAACTTTTAGCTTCATTTCCTTGGCAAAGTGCTGAAAATTGGTCAGATCTGTAAGAGGTCAAAACGCTTAGCGTCACTTCAATTCTACCTGCCAACTTGAGAGTGCTGGGAAAATCGTGTCTGCAACCTGAAAGGAGCCAGGGCTTCAGAGGGGGAGGACTTCCTCCTGCATTTGTCTGTGCTCATTAAGAAAATTAAAGCAGACACATTCTAGAGGCTGACCCCTTTGCTTTAGACTTAGTGAAATCACTACAATCAAATTAAAACCAGCCCAGGCCCTTTTTTCCCCCCTTTCCGTCCCCCTGTTAGCTTCCAAAATTACATGTGAGCAATTATTGAATGTTAAAAGCTAAAGTAAAGTCTGTAATGAGGTCGAGCAGGGCGATGTTGAAAATGACACATCATATTGGAGCTAACAAACTATTGAGATTAACAACTTGGGCTGTATAAGCAGCAGGACAGTTCATGCCAGCTTGTGTTCAGAGCCTCTTGCTTATGTTCCCTCTGTAATTTTTTTTCCTCATACTGGAAGTGGCAGAATTTTGGAGGTGGTGATTAAATGGCTGGGGCCTTTCTTATTTCAGGGACAGGCCCTATGGGAAGAAGGGTGCTAGGTGCTAAGAGGTAAGAGTTAAAATGAAAGTTAAAGTACAAACAGAAGCACATAGCTGACATGCTTCAAGTTTAGACAGTGCAAGATATGCAAATGTGCAGGGGTGTGCAGTATTGACATTTTGAGGTCATAGTGATAGGAATGTATTATTTATAGGATTTGGTTGCAGTAGGCTGCTAAACTACATTTTAAATCCTAGACGTTTGTAAGCAGCAAGTTTTTTGTCCCTCCCCCCCCAAATTACATGATTGGTATTCCAACTGCCAGGCGTGTGTTATTGTTGCTGCACAGTGGAGTGAATATATCTTGCATTGTATATGTGTCTGTGTGTGTGTGCACAAATCCCTGAGCTTGTGTTAATAATCACTGCAATGGAGCAGGCTCAAGCACACACAGAGGCAGGCAGAGGGGGCCCAGAAAGTTTAGCAGTTTGTAATCTGTCCGTTTTAACTTCTTTCTTTTTAAAAATGTGCTCTCCCAGCACCAATTACTCAGGAAATAAATAGGTTTGCTCCCTGCAGCCCTAGGTGTCTGTGCAACTCCAGCAGCCTAGCGTGTAGTTACTACAGATGAGCAAACTCCTTGGGTGTATAGCAGGAGGTTGTATCTCATGTAAATGGAACCCAAGTTGTTGTACTTTATTTCCCAGCTTCTCTTCCTTCTGGGAAAAGGTTAATCACACATAAGATTTCGGGGTGTGAGGGAGCGAGCCAGAGGCAGTTTCCTCCCACCCCTTCCTCCTCTGGAGTTGCTGGAGAAGTTGTCCTCCTCAGAGTGAGAGTTCTATTGAATGGGTGGTGTGGGCAGCCTGGAGGAGTCCATAGGTCTAGCCAATCCTCCCTAAGGTGGAGGAGACTCCCATTAATTTTGTGAGCAAAGATTTTGCAGTGCACGTTTCAGGGAGACATTCAAAATCCTGTTTACATGTTTGGAAAGCTCCTTCTCTCACTGTCACAGTTTACTGGAACTGCTTGAGGCCTCTTAGCAAGGCCTCCCTGTCTTTCCCTCCCTCCCACTCTCTCTCTCTCTCTCACTCAGTCTCTTTTCTAGGCTGCTCTCTTCTGTCTAATCAATTATCTTCCTAGCTAGTCCTTCTCAAAGGTGAGAACTCATTATGCATATTCATAAATCACAGTGCCCAGGTCTGACACTGATTGATGTAATCATCTCCTGCTCACTCCCTTTCTCCATGAGGCAAGGATGGAGGAAGTGACACAGGAAGGAGATGGCAGGAGAATACTTCCAAGTTGTCAAACCAACTTCTAGCTGGGCCTGTTAGAAAACAGCTCTCAGAGTTAAGCAAGCCATGTAATGCTTGCCATTCATTGCAGCCAAAGGGCCTATCACAGACTTTTGATAAGAGAGGGGAAAGCTCCTCTGAACTAATAAATATCAGTGAGTTGTCTTCAGCACACTGCTTCCTCGCAGCCTACTTAACCATTTTGCTGACAAACAGAAAGTGGGAAGGAAAATATTATTTTAAAAACAAAACAAAACACCTTTTCTGCTATCTAGAATCAGAATATACCATACAAATAAAAAAGAAACCTTTCATGTTAGCTTATACCCTTGCTTTTTATACTTCTTGGATAGTTCAACCCCATTTTATCCCAGTAGAAAGAATGCATTCTGTCACAGTACTTGATCATGTAAATCACAATCTTAATGTCACAGTCTCTAATACGATAATATGATTACCATCCTTAATATTTAATCTGCAGCTGTTTTATTTGGATAAATTGGGCAAACTTTAAAAAAGAAAAATAAGTCTTGAATTAAATAAGTTATTGCTTCAGTGATTTGCAGGCTAACAGTCTCATTTTGACTGTTTCTATAGGGTTTCAGGATATTAATATATCTCTGATCTGTGATGATTTATGTTTTCCAACATATGCTCAGGCATGGCAATTTTCAAAATGCAATTCAGACTATGCAGTTTACCTTCATGTCTAATATTTACACATTTAAAATACTCTTTTTTTATGACTGATGAGAAATATGAGTGAAACAAAACAATAATACAATCTGCCCTGGAAGCACTA